TAGCTCGTACTCCTTACAGACTTCGTGAGTGGAGGTAAGGCCTATAATATGCTGACTGAACAATTTGAGAATGTGGTCAATCTACTTATGGTGAATGTCATTGTGGGGAAAAATTACAAAATCGTCGACGTAACGAAAAACAGCACTGCAGCACGTACTAAGTTGACCTTCCAGCTGCCTGTCAATGTAGCCTAAAATAATGTCACTAATAATAGGGGCTACGCTCGAACCTATGCAGACACCAGACTTTCGTACATAAATATCCCTCCGCTACGACACAAATGTACTTTCAAGGTAAAATGACAAAAGTTCAAGAAATGATTCTAAATAAATACCGCAACCATCGATGAAAGATTGTTCATCGTTGTCAAACACAATGCAGGCTTTTACGCATTTCATAACCTGGCAATGCGGAAGGGAATAATATAAATTTTCCACGTCGACACTGAAGGCGCAACGTAGGCTCATCGAGTTATTTTTGAGGTACTCGCACACCGAATCCGAATTCGGTATGCGGAAAGGGTCAACAATATTCAGACATGCTAGGTTCTTTTGCAGAAAAACGCGAAACATCTAACTGCCAGCTACCTTTTTCCGAGACTATGGCCCGGAAAGGCATGTCTTCCTTGTGCGATTTCACCGTAAAGAAAACTTCTAACTCCAGGTTTTTCGCCCTCTTTTCGCTGGCTGCGAAACGTTGCAGATTCATTCCTTCTAACAAGGAAAGCACTCGGTGTTTTACTTCTGTGGCCTTAACACTGACACGCCTGAACTTTTTCTTAACTGTTTCCTCGCTCTTCTGTGAATACGCTTCAGAATTCATAATGGCAAAGTATCCTTCTTTGTCGGCTACTAGTACATGCAGTTTGTTTTCACAAAGAAAATCAACTAGCGGCCTTAGTGAGCCCGTGCCCCCCCCCCCCCCCCCGCACCTTTCCCGTTATGGCAATGGTATCAACACAGTCCGAAACACACCTTGAACGTTAATCTTCCTTGGCACACCTTGAGACCGCCCTCACTGTGGCTACCTTTTCAAAGGGATTCAGAGGGGGCTCGAAGCAGTACTTCGGGCCAAGTCCCAGCCCCCTCTCATGTTCCTCCGGTATTGGCGTTGCGCAAAGGTTGAGCTCATGGCCCTGTACCAAGTTTGCTTTCTTCTTCACCGGAAGCGTAGGACGTACAATGCGCCAGAGGAACTCGCTGGTGAATTCGGCCGTGTCGCACCACTGTCTGTACCGGCGTGAACCAGGGTAGTGATCCAGATAACTCGAACATGCAACGCGAAGTAGGTCTTTAAGCATCCTAACTTGTCGCCACCATTCAGACTTGAGAATTTTGCAGATCCTTCGCGAATGTCCATCCGAAGGCTTCAGCCAACCGCACAACACCTGCACCTCGGCCGGGAAATTCCTTGTCTGATGTGCCAGGAAGCAACTCTGGCTCTGAACACGCACACATCAATCATGGCTGCCAGGTAAGCCGGGTCATGAAGGTTCGACTTAACACATAGAAAAGAGCCCTGGGTACTAGAAATATATTGTAGTAAGACTGTAAGTTGGGCCAGTTGGTTAGGATCCATCGTGAACTTACAGCGCAACACCAGAAAAAATACAGGACAGGGAAGGAGCAAAAAGAGAAAGGAAAAGAAGGCGCTGACTCACAACTGTTGTTTATTGAAAAAAAAAAAACGAGGTGAAAAGTGTATAGACAAGGAATTTGCCCGGCTGAAGTGCAGGTGTTGTGCGGTTGGCTGAAGCCTTCGGATGGACATTCGCGAAGAATCTGCAAAATTCTCAAGTCTGAATGGTGGCGACAAGTTAGGATGCTTAAGGACCTACTTCGCGTAGCATGTTCGAGTTATCTGGATCACTACCCTGGTTCACGCCGGTAGAGACACGGCCGAATTCACCAGCCAGTTCCTCTGGTGCATTGTACGTCCGACGCTTCCGGTGAAGAAGAAAGCAAACTTGGTACAGGGCCATGTGCTCAACCTTAGCGCAACGCCAATACCGGAGGAACATGAGAGGGTGCTGGGACTTGGCCCGAAGTATTGCTTCGAGCCCCGCCTGAATCCCTTTGAAAAGGTAGCCACAGCGAGGGCGGTCTTAAGGTGTGCCAAAGAAGATGAACGTTCAAGGTGTGTTTCAGACTGTGTTGACACCATTGCCAGAACGGGAAAGGTGCGGGGGGGGGGGGGGGGGCACGGACTCACGAAGGCCGCCAGTTGATTTTCTTTGTGAAAACAAACTGCATGTACTAGTAGCCGACAAAGAAGGATACTTTGCCATTATGCATTCTGAAGCGTATTCACAGAAGAGCGAGGAAACAGTTAAGAAAAAGTTCAGGCGTGTCAGTGTTAAGGCCACAGAAGTAAAACACCGAGTGCTTTCCTTGTTAGAAGGAATGAATCTGCAACGTTTCGCAGCCAGCGAAAAGAGGGCGAAAAACCTGGAGTTAGAAGTTTTCTTTACGGTGAAATCGCACAAGGAAGACACGCCTTTCCGGGCCATAGTCTCGGAAAAAGGTAGCTGGCAGTTAGATGTTTCGCGTTTTTCTGCAAAAGAACCTAGCATGTCTGAATATTGTTGACCCTTTCCGCATACCGAATTCGGATTCGGTGTGCGAGTACCTCAAAAATAACTCGATGAGCCTACGTTGCGCCTTCAGTGTCGACGTGGAAAATTTATATTATTCCCTTCCGCATTGCCAGGTCATGAAATGCGTAAAAGCCTGCATTGTGTTTGACAACGATGAACAATCTTTCATCGATGGTTGCGGTATTTCTTTAGAATCATTTCTTGAACTTTTGTCATTTTACCTTGAAAGTACATTAGTGTCGTAGCGGAGGGATATTTATGTACGAAAGTCTGGTGTCTGCATAGGGTCGAGCATAGCCCCTATTATTAGTAACATTATTTTAGTCTACATTGACAGGCAGATGGAAGGTCACCTTAGTAAGTGCTGCAGTGCTGTTTTTCGTTACGTCGACGATGTTGTAATTTTTTCCCACAATGACATTCACCATAAGGAGATTGACCACATTCTCACATTGTTCAGTCAGCATATTATAGGCCTTACCTCCACTCACGAAGTCTGTAAGGATTACGAGCTGCAGTTTCTTGACCTAAAGCTAACTTTTGGTAAGATCATTTGTGTTGGAAATATGACCCAAGATCGGTGAAGCCTATCTTAAACTACAAGTCTGGCCATTCTAAGATTTTTTTAATTTATTTTTATTTATTTGTGAAGAGAGCGATTGCAAAGACAATCTTAAGTGCGTCGCTCAGGAAATCCTGTGTGCACGTGTCGAATACTGCTTTTCATAACCAGGTAAAACGGTTAGTAGATGCTGGGTATCCTGACAAGGTGATTTCGTCTTTGTGTGAGTCAATAGTTCGGAGCGTTAAGCTCGTGAAACACAGAAAAGCTCAAGAACATTCTGATAGAAAAAGAAGAAGAGCAGTTTTTCCTTATGTTCAAAAATTGGCGCATGGGCTGAAAAATGTAGGCTCAAGGTACGGTGTTCACGTTCTTTTTTCCGCCAAACATAAGATAGGTCACATTTGCCCGATGGTTGATCATGCGCTGAGGAACAAACAAGCCAAAGGGAGATGCGCTGTGAATCATAAGAACAAGTACATCGCATGCGTAAAGAAAGCTGTGTATTTAACTCCATTATCGTGTGGTAGGGAGTACGTGGGACAAACGAAACGATGTGTGAATGTTCGTTTAAGGGAGCATGAGTTATCTCTTCAAGGAATCGCGCGACTGCATCTGCCGGAAAATTGCAGGTCATGCGGTTGTCGTTCCATTTTTGAGAGAACCACCATCATCTTCAAGCATCCTAACCAGCTTACAAGAGAAATCGCTGAGACATATCATATAAAGATTAGGAGGAGCAAGTGCGTTAGTGAACCATCCGTCACACTGCATGAAAAAGAGATAAGTTATTTAGGCCAATCTTGTTTATTGCCATGAGTGTGATAACGATACCTTGGTGCACCTCGTATTCTGCGCATGTTGTGATGTAGGCTGCGAGTACCTATATATACCATTTTCACCACGTTTTTTTCCAATAAACAACAGTTGTGAGCCAGCGCCGTCTTTTTCTTTCTGTTTTTGCTCCTTCCCTGTCCTGTATTTTTTCTGGTGTGGCGCTGTAAGTATGTCAACGATGGATCCTGACCAACTGGCCCAACTTACCGTCTTACTTCGCTAAAAAGCTAGAAATGCGCGCAGGTGACAGCGTTGAAGTACTTACACACACTTCGCTTGAAAGCTAGCATTGCAGGAGCAATGGCCGCCGGAGATCACGGGCTCAGTAACAACACTTCGCAGCTGCACCACTATTTCATGAGCATCCAAATTCTCACCAGACATTTACGTGCACGGAGAGTGCAACATTTATTTAATCGTCGACTTCGCAAGTCGCGACAACCGAAATGAGGTACTCGGAAGCAAAGACACTTTCACCTTCGACAAAACACTACACGCAGACGTGAACAACAGAAAATAAACTCAAGGCACAGCGCTGATGCACCACGTTTTAACATCGCAATCTACAAAACGCAGTAGTTCCAACAGCAACCCGCACATACGCACATGCACTTTTAGTTGGCTGCCATCTTTGCCAGTGTGATGATGATGACGATAGTGACCCTTTTTTGTTACAGTGTACTAAACTGTACCTTTGTAGCGGGCGGGCACTACTTAATAACAAATAAATATTACAGGAAAACAAAAGAAGTTGAAAAATGGCAAACGGGCACTTTTACTTTTTTTTACTGCTTGTGGTGTGGTACGCGTGATTAGTTAAAATGCTCCCGTCTAGTTCGTACCTTTTGCCGCTGGCCGCGTATGCTGCCACAGGGTGGCACGAACCTTTTCGAGGCAAAAGCGTTCGATTCACCCAATAGCCGCTTAAAACCAGCTTGACTTGGCTGAAAACGTATGAATAGATAGCGACAAAATCGCCGTGTTGGACATTTTTTCGGGGACGTTTAGGTGGTGGGAACGAAAGGTTTAAAGTTCCTCACTAACTTGTGAGGATCTTTACCGTGCGGTGGTTATTTATCCGTGGTCTTTGCTTGGCCGGGAGCCTTATGCATTCGCGAGAACCGCCTCTGCGCGTGGATACGTGGTCTCGTTCTGTAATACTGTCTATAAGCAATGTGGTAACGACTTGCCCGATCATGAACACCGTGTGTTATGCTATTTGTGGATGTATGCCGTACGTGTATGTCTGGTAAGTGCGTGCGTAGCGTAAGGATCGATGTGTCGCTTCGGTGAAGTGTATGCTTGCGCCAAAACTTTCATTGAAGCTTCTTCTTGCGTAACTGCGTGAGACAGATACGAAATGCACAAGTTGAAAGCGATGGAATATTACCAGGCGTTCACACGACGTTATTTTCCAAGTGGCTTAAATATGTTGTCGCCGATTACGATAATCGGTTTTCTAAGCTATGTCTTTTCTTGTGGGTGTATACAAAGAAAAAAAAGAAATAAAGTTGAAGATATGCTGGGAGCACTATAAATATTCGCTCAAGATTGCCACCTTAAGCGTCTTCTTAAAATTAAACAGTGCCGCAAGGCAGTCGTGCCTTGCGGTGAAGTGCACGCAGTGTATTGCGGTAAAGCATACATATTGCGCGCGCTCGTGTTTAAATTGGAAATGTAGCACTGACATTGTGCCTCGTGTGTGCACCTAAGTTGAACACGCGCTATCCTCTGCCTCATCAGTGACGATGCGGCAGTCAGTATTGTCATCATCTTCAGCTTGTGTAACAAGCACAGAACAATTTACCTAGTAAAATATATTTTGTGGCAGGCAATTCGCAAGGCATTCAGATGTTAGCTCATTGCAGGATTAATTCAAAATTGTTGAATGGCACATTCAAATAAATGAAACATGCGAATGAGAGGCTTCAGTCGTACTTCAAAATTTGTGCCATGCCTCAGCTTGAAAATGATTATAAAGGAAATATATGCTAAGGCTGGGTGTAGATTACCATTCACAATTCAATTACCATTCATATTTTATAAACTTAAAAAATTTGTAGCTCATGTTTTCCTATCGAGTAAGCACAAAAATAACTGTTGAAGTATGGTCTACAATTACTCACACAGTTTGCAAGAAATAGATCTTTGAACCGTATGTCGTGCCAGAACTAAGTGCAAGGTGGTTAGAGGAAACTGGTTGTGACCCGACATAATAGCGCATGTTCGAACGTCTTACATGGGCTGCTTGTTGGCAAAATGGGGTGGGAATTAGGTAAGTGCCTGCAGGGATCTGCACCAAGAGACGAAACCTGCTACATCTTTTTCATAAATTTCATTATTTGTGTCGAGCATGCGTGCACTCTTCGTTGTTGTGTTCTCCCAGGGAGCAAGTATATGGCATACGCATAAATCCATACGTTACCCCTGCGATTTGAAGATGTTATCGCAGTGGACATGAACGTGCAATGTATTTGAAAACGTTGCTGGACACCAACTTTCTTAACAATCTGAACCCGCTTATACTACAAAAGTTACCACGTGACTTCAGCCAAATAGTTTCTAACTGTTGTGGTTATTGTCAGAAAAAAGTAATAATGAGCTAGTTGTGCTTGGACAATAGTCTTGCTTTACTGTATAAAAAACTGTAATTTAGTACCTGCATATAGAACTGACCACTTAGCTATTTTTTTTTATTTGTGGTCCTATTTGTTACAGTTTACTTTCAAAATATTTCATACAAGGTGGTTAAGTTTTAAGTCCATACAGTGGGCAAATTTTATCAGCAGTACCGCATGCTGTACAATCACTTTTACTTCTCCTAGAAAGCATGGTGTTCCACTATTCCGGTATGTCTCGGCTGGGCTTCTCGACCTCGACGATTGTACATGTCAAACAGTTTGCCAAGTGTAACTACTTACTCCCACATAACTCTAAATTTTGTCGAGCCATAATAAATAATTGGCAGTAAGGACCAGTTACAAAACCCTTTTTTATGAAGTGCTCATTAATTAGGGACCTAACAATTCTGTACATAAACGATGACAGCAACCACTTCTCCACAGATTGAACGATTAGGTTGTACTAATAAACGCATTAATATAATCAGACTCTTTTTTTTTGGAAAGTAAATACAATGCATAGTCTTACCAGTCCGTGCTTCAATATTGTAGCTAAACTATCGTTGAAAGCCAGAGTCATTTACAAATGTTATGTGAATTCCCGGAAAGCGCTAAGCTTTATATAAACTGGGAATGTCTGCAAAAAAGCAAAAAGCCTACGTTTATGTTGAGCAGAAGTCCAAGTGAACATGCATGCATATGTTCATGAACTAGTTCCCTGTAACATGTGGTGCAACAGCTCTAGCTTAAAAGCTTCAGGCAGCTTTTATGCTGCTCCGAAAAGATTTTAGTTGCACCACAAGCTCCGGATATGCCTTTTATGAGTCACGTCACTGTGCCTCTTGAGTCTTTAAAAAAACAGGTTTGAAGGGGATGCTAAAATTTTTTTTGAAGGGGTGAGTAGCAGAGAGCATTAATTTATTAAAGTCTTCAATTTTATTATGTTAGCTCTGAGGCTTGCAGGTATGTTAAATGAGCATGGTCATATGAGTAACACCTCATAGGTCAATAATTTTTGGGTTGACAGCAAGGTATGAAGAGACAGGATTATGAAAATTGCGGAAGTAGAAGTAATGAAGTTGTCGAGAAGACTTTGTTAACAGTACATTTACAGGCTTCACGCAGAATTTGCTTTCCAGCAGGGTGAATTTACTTTCGCTGATTCTTTCGATGGCATCATTGCAGTTCATAAGCACTGGTTTTACGGACTGCACGTGACGATCTTGTTTTTTCAAGGTTCGTGTACTGATTAAAAAGTATAGGATCAAGAAACTTACATGCTGTCTTAAGGCATAATCAGGCTCACCATAGAGGTAATTGGTGACATTTTAATGAGTTGTATGTGGGAGGTCTGTGTACATAACATCATAGTAATCTTGCAATGCTGTAGCTGTATTTGTGTAACGAGTGAAGCTTCTTTTCCTGTTAAAAATTTCTGCCAAGCAAACAAGTTCCAACAGTAGGATTTGCCCTTGGGTAAAGCAGGTGGTAAGACTGAGCTTATTCAGAAGCCCTTCAAGAGTACCCACTGAAGGAATTAGTACCTATAGGGCAAAAATTCCAGTGCACCAAGAAGGGCAAGGGAGGACATTGCAGGTCAACATTTCAGGAGGGCATCTTTGGACATCATCCTTCTCTAGCCACAAGCTTGTATGGCCATTGTTTAGCAGACTCCTACTAACATAAACTAGGTATAAATGTTGCTTCTCTATTGCAAGATGACACGCCATATACCTTTTGAGAGTCTCCTCACCACAAGCCCTTACATTAGCCTAAAAATATTTTTTTACGGTGCCCTTTTTTGTCCTAAACAGTTGTCTGAAGCAACAATATGCACATTGTGACAGTCTAGCTGGTGACCACAGAGATGGCTCCCGCCATCACGATGTATACTCCACTCAAAATGTAAGACACTGCAAAATCATAGTCCGGTGTGCGTGCATACGACCTTGAACATGCAAGCAGTGACGACTTCTCTTGTGTTCTCTGCACTGGCGCATGCTTGTTGCACACCTGTTCAAGATTGTGACAGTGAAATTAGTTCTGGCAATGCTGTCTCTGTGTACATCCTTAGGAACACCACGGTGGAGCGAGCAGAGATTCATATCAAATGTAATAAACTCGCAACACCATGGGGATATAAGCACACTTGTATTAATTTATTACATTTTTATTGAGGCAGACATCACACAGCTAAGCCTAGTTGTGATCTCTTTTCATTATTGTCTACATAGTTTTCCCGTTGGTCACAGCACAGGAAGAAAAATTTTTCTGTGGGAGCACCATATTTTAAGCTTGCATGACTCCAATGAAGCACTGTGCGAACAGATATATTGAAAATGTCAATACTTCGGGTCCTATAAATGGTGAACTGGTTGTCACAATCAGCCGGTGATCCTGCAGGAGCTTTAGCATATACTCTAAGGTCATTTTGCATCAACAATGCCACGTACAATAGTTTAACAATGGTTGTTAATGGGCAAGATGATGCATAGCTTCAGGGAGGTAATTAAGCTAAGGGGGAAAATTATAGATGCCCAAGCACCACTGGAAAAATGAAAATGCACAGAAAAAGAGCATCGGTCGCAGCTGAACTACAGAAAATATTTACACTGCACCACACATTCGCATCGTCTAGAATTTTCCCTAATAATGTTATAACAACCTGCCTAGCAGCAAGTACTTCTAAGGTAATAAAGTGCAGAAGGACACTTGAATAAGACAGGGAACAGGACGCGAGTTAACTGCCATCTATCTTTGTTTGTGCAGGGTGTCTACCAACCTGGGAAATTCGGGGAATTGGGGCCTTGCTGGAAAACTGTAGGAACTTTGGTAAAACCTGGCTAATTCATGGAAACTGGCGGCAGTCTGTGCCACCATCACAAAAATAAGCATTACCCTTGATCAATACTCAAAAAGTCACTCCTTCGACTGCAACTACAGTGAACCGCTAGAAGAGGCCTAAAAAAAGACAATGCATAACTGTTTCTTCTTAGTGTACAAACAAAAGGATACACCGACGAAAATAACACAAAGTTTACTGATGTTTGGGCACCTGATATTGTTCTTAATGACAGCCATAAAAAAGGTACATCGTATTTAAGTATGACTAGGTACGTGATGTAAGCACCAAAAGTATATGGTCAGCGTTCTATAAATCTTATTGAGTATATGTGCAGCTGTGTGAATGTGCAGGGATTCCAGGTGCTGGCATGATGCAAGCTTGTTTTCTTCGACCAGAACACGTTTGCTTGACCAGTAAATTTGAAAGCCTGTATATTCCGCATGTTCAGCGAGGGCACCCAAGGCCACCCATGATTTGGTGACTTCATTTTGAACTGTTGTGTTGTTTAGCTCTTTCATTAAAATCACAGGTCTCATAGACTGACATGTTGTCACACTCGTGGAAGACTACAGTGTAAAGAAGACTACAGAAATTTCGCTCGGCAGCTTATTCTTCCCATTGACTAAAGCATTCCTTAGCTTCCATGTTGGTACATGCACTATTTTGATGTATGTTCCTTCTACATATCACATATCATATCTGACTTTCCAAGCACAGCATTTCTCACATCAGTAAACTTGTGCATATTTGTCGTGGCCACAAATTCGGCTTGGCTTGAAGGCCTTTTAGTTAGGTGCTTATGTTAGAACTGCCATCACAAGAGGTTTGCTGGGCTATGTCTTGCCTTGTATAATATTATTGCTATTATTATTATTATTGGCGATGCAGCTGCAAACGTCCTCCGCTATGCACTTATTGCAGATATTTCAAGAGTAGCACACTCTCTTCTCATTTCATTTCCTTGAGATGGTGTTATTAAATCCATGAGTATTTTTTATCATTATGTTCATAGAAGAGTACGTAAATGAAGGTAGCATGAAGGTAACCAAAACACGCAACTTAGCTTCACAAAAAAAGCCTACTGGCTTTTTCAGCTTGCCTTTGTTGTACATAGCCTGGTCACTCCTCACAACGGTGTTCATGCTCTCTGAGACGCATCTGGAAGCTAAGTTGCATGTTTTGGTTGCTGAAAAGGAAGGCTTCTTTTCAACTCTAGATGGCTCTATGTATAATGATAAGGTAGCCACTGGTTTGGAAAAAAGCTGAATAAATCATTTTCTGAGCAACTGCAGCCAATCCATTTATGTGGATGGACATGCATCTTCACTTTCACATGCAAAGTCTGGTGTACCCCAGGGATCAATCATGGGACCAGTTTTTGTTTCTCATTTACATCAACGACATTGGGCATGGTTTGTCATCTACTATCAAATTATTTACATACAACTACATCATTTATAAAAAAATTGACAGTACCCAAGCTAACGAGCCATTATAGTTGGACCCTAATAAACTCGCATTTTGGTGTCACCATGGCAAATTAACACTTCCAAAACGAAGGCCATGACGTTTACAAGAGCACATAAAACAGAAATGAGTCAATATGAAATTCAAGCTCTCCCCATTGAAAAAGTATCCCTATTTAAGTATCTTGGAATTCATTTATCTTCTGACCTGCCTTAGAATAAGCGCATCGATATCATAACTAGTGAGGTGTCAGAAGCACTTGGATTTATTAAAAGAAACCTTTACTTGGTGAACTATACCTCTAAAATGCTAGCATACACCACTTGTCCGTTCAAAGATAGAATATGCATCCATCATCTGGAACCCACATCAATCATATCTCATCGATTAACTAGAATTAAAATAAAATGAAGCAGCAGGATTTATCACCAAGTAGTATTCTCGCAACTGCAGCACTACAGATATTACACACTCACTTTCATTACCCCTTCTTGAAAAACGCAGACTGTCGTCACTGTTGTTGCATTTTCATACATTTTATCATAGTAAATGTGCCTTCATGAAGCTTGTACAAACACACCTCATAATATTTTGAAACATATTGATCACCAATTGAAAGTACACCCTTTTTCGGCACGCACAATTATGTATCAAAACTCACCATTACTTCGAAGCACACATCACTGGAACACACTGCCAAGCGACATCACTTGATTCATTGATCGTGCCACCTTTGTAAACCAATTTGATATTTTCTTGGACATATGACTTACCTATCTGTGTGAGTTTGTAAGTGCATGTATGTGCTTATTTTTACTCTTCTTTCATTGTAAATATATTTTCTCCTTAAAGATGATAGTCTTGCTTGGGATACTCCAATGCAAAAATTTTGGTCTGTCAGCAAAAAGGCTCAAGTACGACCACATCCTCAGCATCCACCAGTATTGCTCAAGTTTCTGCTTTCATACTTGTACGATTGTCAATAAGAAGCAAATATTGAGCATATTTGAGGCACAACATCAACACGTCGATATTGTGCACTGTGTTTATTTATACTAGAAAAGGTATAAATAAGTAATTCTAAGCACTGCAGCTGACAATGCGACGCTTCGCATGGAAAGGCGAGTCTCCTACGCTTTGCTAAGACGATACTGTGCTGCTACCTGTCTTGAAATCTACAAAATATGGCCTCCAAGATTGCACGCATGCTGCGTGCAGCGTGCTCGCTATAACAAAGGTCATCCTTTCGTTTTCTGAAATTACCGCCAGATGGCACTCATGTCTCACGCAACACCTCCAGGATCCCATTCACCAGTTTTCTCGTGCAAAACATCAAATAAATATTTTTGTCTATTCACTCTTTTCAGGCGAAATACAATAGTCTTTCGATGACATTTTTGGTCAAATATACAGATAGGGGGCAGTTTTTTTTCATGGCAATTTTCTGTATATATATTTTTTTGCACTATAGCTGTGTCTCTCTTATTGAGTTTTAATTCCTGCCACAATTTTTTTTTCCTTTTGCATCTTTGTCTATGGAACTGTATTTTACATTGTTTGCCACTTTAATTTTATAATGGCAATGTTCTGATTTGCAAATTTATTGTATAACTAAAACCCCCTGTGTAATGCCTGAATGGGCCTTTAGGGTATATATTAATAAAAAAAAGTGTTGATGCTAAAAGCGGGTGACTGATCGAACAAGTTTATGCCCTGTTACTAACGCTTAATCAGGAACGCGTAGCGGCAAGTGTGAAAAAAGCAAAAAGGCAAAAACTATCAGTTTTTATTTCAGTGAAGATTCATGTTGCCACTAAGAGCTGTTGTTTCAGAAAAAGACACTTGGTAAATAAATGTTTCAGAGTATATTCAAAGAAATTCGTAGCGTTTGAAGACTTGTGATCCACTAAGAATTTCCAACTCAGAATCTATCATCTTATCACTAAGTGAACAACCTTCTTTGTGCCATAATGCATTCGGTATAGACGTAAAAGATTTATATTATTGTTTGCCTCAATGTGAAGATTAGAAGAGTATAAAGCAGTGCATGAGAGAAGATAATGATGAGTTGTTGTTTCAGTGCCAGTCTGGCATCTCTATTGCGTCGTTTATAGAGCTCATGCAGGCCACCTAAATTCTACCGTTGTGTCTTGGAAGGGAAATAATTTTGTCCAAAAATCTGGTATCTGCATTGAATCATGAATATACCTGTAATTAGTTATATTTTTCTTGGGTATGTAGACGGGCAGCTGCAAAGCATTTGAATTGGTTATCATCACACGCTGTTTGATATGTCCATGACTTTTAGTTCTACTGGACATTAACAATTGCTCTTTACTGGTTGCTAATATAAAGAAAGATGTTAAGGAAAACGGGATGTCAGCATTTCACTTTGGAATTGTCAAACTTGATGAGCGACAGTTTCTCGATTTAAGACAGGCTTTCGTCAAAGATCACATATATAGCAATACCAACCTAGATTCATAAAGCCAATTCTGAATTTCAATTCTGGCCACTCAAAACCATACAGGGAGCCATTGAGTCAACTGTGCTGGGTGCCGCTTTTCAGAAGTTACGCGAGCACCTTATGGCGCATGCATTTGATACACAAGTTGCTCGCCTTGCAAATTTTGACCTTCCGGGTGACGTGATTTGCTCCTTGTCGGAAAAACTTATTTCAAAGCTCAAGAAATTTCATCATTGTGCTTCTAGTGCATCAGAAATTAGCAAGGAAAAGAGGTAGGCAGTTATAACATACATACACAGGATAGCACATGGTTTGAAAAATGTTGGTGCTCGTTATTGCATAAACATGTCATTCTCAGCACGTAATAAAGTGCATAATGTGTGTACTTTGGTGGATAGAGCGTTGTGTCAGCAGTCAGGGAAAGGGAACAAATGTGTCGTCTCCAGTCATGTCGACAGATATGCTCCGTGCACTACTGGCGTGGTTTATGGGATTCCACTGTCTTGCGGCTGCGAATATTTAGATGAAATGAGGCGTTACATAAACGTGCGCGTGAGAGAGCATGAGCTAATGCTATCAGATTCTGAAATCACGTCTCATTCGGCAGCTCATTGTAGGCCATGTGGATGTGTGTTCAGGGCTGGGCAGAGAGAGATGCCCGAAAAAAGTATTCTGAAATACAGATATCGAAATGCGTGGTTTGGAAGCATAAAATGCAGATACTGAGATAAATTTGTAATTGATGTGACAGGATATTTCAGAGATACGTTCGCAAAAAGACAAAAAAAGTATTGCGGAATACAGATAATAAAATACTTTTCTCTATGTCGGGGATAGTTATACTCCATACAGACATTTGTTATGTGCAGCATAATATTTAAAATGTGCAGCGCATTGAAACTTGCAAATGAAATTGTTTTATTATATTTTTGCCAAACTTTTAGTGCCATTAAGGTATTACAAAAGGTGCTTACACTGCACATAATTGTTAATAACCACATATTTACAGATATCAGTTGCAATAAAGAACTATGCCGTATGAGAGTATCAGTCACACGCATTGCACACCGAAATCCGGAACTCAACAGCAACAGTATGAGTTATGCTAGAAGGAGCATAGTTCAAGCGAAAAGCTAGAA